GCCTGGCATCCGATATATTGTGGGTCGGCGCTACCAGTCCCGTTCTGGGCCTGACCAACAAGTCTATGCCCAAACCCTCTAGTACTGGCGAGGCGTCGTGCGTATGGGAAGATCATTGTTACGGCACGGCCCTCTGGAAAGGTGGTTCAGGAGCCCAAAGTCTTCCTACTCGCCGATAGGAGCCCTGGATAACTACCGAAGGGCCTCCGGGCAGGTCACCATTCCTTCGTCTTGTTACTCGCGCAATCACCATCAGCGCTTCGGTCTCTAGTGACACCCTGTCGTAATTGTTGTTTTGCGCCTGTAAGTAAGTAGCCCCAATAGTGGTTTACCCACTTTTAGTTTTAGGTTAGCCCAGGTTGCACATCATATTTACTCATTTCATATTTAGCGTTTGTTTGTATTTACATATTAGACTGTTCTTCTTTCTTTTTTCTTTCAGGTAATGTCGCTTCTTGGAAGCTATAAAGCCCGAATCACCAAGGCCGCCAAAGCACTTCGTGAGAAGATCTCGGAAGTCGATGAGGCCACCCTTCAACCGCTGGATCCTGCTATGGAGGCAAGTAAGGATCCACACTTTATTTTGAGTTGTAAGAGTTCACTTTTTTTGAAATTTACTCTCATTGAACGTGCTATTGCGCATCTACGCGCCCAGAGAGAAAAAGCCGAAGAGTTTGCTCGTCAAAATCCTGACGGGCAGGGCGAGTTTCCCTTCCTTCAGCAGATTCAGGATCATTGGGACGCTGGTGAACTGGATCAACTCCTGGAGGAAGCTGACACTCTCCATGCACGTCTTGATATTGCGATCAAGCTCTTGCCGAGCTCGGAAGTTTTGTATTCTATGCGTGTTCCGGTTGTTCCTCCTTCTTCTTCATCTGTTAACCTTTCTCCTCATCCTACCCAAGACCCCATCCCGACCGATCAGCCTGCGCAGAACGTGAGAGAGGAAATCGCGAGCCACTCTTCGTCTAAGAATCAGGATCGCCCATCAGAACCTGATATCGCGCCAGCTGATAACCTACCACCGCGCGCGTCAAGCGCCACCCAAGGATTGGGTGTCTCCCCCCATAACCCCCCAACTTTTGGCAATCCCTTTGTGACTCCTTCTTGCCCCCAACCGAATCCGTTCGCAGCATCGTCTGCTCTCCCGAACCCTACTTCTACCCAATCGTCCGTGGAGCAATCGTTGAAACTACCGAGCTTCGAGATTCCTACGTTTCATGGCGATATCGACAGGTTTTACGAGTTTTGGGACCTTTTTTCGACGGCCGTGCACAATAACACCAGTGTACCGGCGCCAGTCAAGTTCATGTATTTGAAGTCCCATTTACGAGGACCTCCTGCGAACATCATCGCCGGCTTTCAATCGACGGCTGAGAACTACGATGAAGCAGTACGTATCCTGAATAACACGTATGGTCGTCCGGAGATCCTACGCAACAAGCTGTGGGACAAGCTCTTGCAGTTACCATCAGCCTCGGATTCGCCGTTGTCACAACGCGCGACACTCTGTGCTATAAGAGCTACATGGACCCAGCTTCAACATCTCAAGGAAGACTCCAGCGCGATCGGCACGCTCAAGATCATTCGTGCCAAGTTTCCCCGGCGTACACGTGAGAGGATTGGCGAATTCAAGAACAAAGGAGATCCGATGTGGACGGTTGATGAATTGCTTGCTACGCTGGACACCATCATTGATAGATTAGAAAGTAAAGAGGATGCAGACCCTTCGGATTACCACTCTTACAACTCCCAGTCGGCTGTTCGTCAACACTCTCTTTCTCCTCGAAGATACCCGCGCGAGGATAGGACAGGTGAAGCGTTCACGCGCTATCGCACACCATCGCGTGCAAGGCGTTCACTGTCGCGCACACAGAACACAGTGTCTGTCTTCTCCTCGTGTCTTTTGCCACAATTTTGGACATCCGTCAGATCGTTGCAGAAACTTCGATGCTAGACAACGTAGACTATATGTCAGTCGCAATAAGCTTTGTTGGTTGTGTTTACAACCTGGTCATACTTATATGTATTGCGACGCTACTCTTTGTCCGCATTGCAATAGGATACACCATAGGTCCCTTTGCCTTGAAGTTTCCTCTTTGCCGCGATCGCCAACTCCGACGTCTAGGCAGACTTTCTATCAGGGCTCGCATAGATCTCGATCGCCCAGACGCGTACAGTTCTATGAGGAATCCTACGGCTCGTCATCTCGCATGAGATCTCGTACTCCACGCGCATCATCGCGCGGTTTCCAGTCTAGGTCTCCATCACCATCTAGGAGTAGGTTTTCCCCAACACCGTCTAGGCGTACTTCGCCATCCAATAGGTCACGCAGTCCTACATCCGCGGTACACAGCACCAACTGTACCTTTGACGCATCTCGTACTACCATGGACACGCAAGCAGAGTCATCTGACGATCACTCACGAGCTTCAGGCGCGCATTCGCCATCTTCCTGTACGTCTGTTTGTCATGATCGATCCACACTTCAAGAACCTCGTCTAATGGTAGTCCGCGCTGTAACTAAGAATTTTAAGACTCAGACGAGCGAGCTGCTTACAGTTTTCTTGGATAGCGGCTCGCAGTACAGCTTTATTTGCACTGCATTGGCCAAACATCTGGGTCTAACATTCAGGAATACCAGGACAGTGACGACCCTGACGTTTGGAGGACATGAATTCACGGAAGAATCGTCAGAAGTCACTCTCACGCTATGGGACCAATATGAACATCCGATCCAACTTGTGCTATGGACGCGCGAGAAGATCACGACGGTCCCCCGGACTAACGATCGCATCGACAATACCATCGTCGATCCTGCAGACAGAGTGGATGTCGACGTGCTTATTGGCATAGAATTGGCGTGTTGTTGATTTGCACAGGAATGAGAGGCTTCCATCAGGACTCATCCTGTCACACACGAGATTTGGACCAGTTCTGTCCGGCATACAACACCCAGTTGTCTCCAATAGTCTCTCGACCGCTCACACATCATCGGACGAAGACGAGCCAGAGAACGAACGACTTGTACGTAGTCTCTTTGGACTCGATACACTCGGAATGGATGAAGGCGAAGATGTGGAGGATGCCGAAGTCATCAGGCAGTTTTACAACAAGGTCGCCATTGTAGACGGCAGCATCTATGTATCGTTTCCGTGGAAACCAGAACATCCTCCTCTTGAGGATAACAAACCTCTAGCCTTTCGCCGATTGCAGAGTCAATATGAGAAGTTTCGCGCGACACCAGAAGCTTGGAAAGACTACTGCAGGACAATTGAAGATCAATTGCGAATTGGCATAATTGAGGATGTCACGGTTGTTGCCGCGCAAGGCTCGAATACGTATTATATTCCGCATCAAGCCGTATATAAACAAGGCAGTTCTACCACCAAACTAAGGATCGTCTTTGACGCGTCGAGTCATTAGAAAGGCTGTTCAAGCCTCAACGACTGCTTATACCAAGGACCTTCCTTATTACCAGATTTAGTAGGAGCTCTGATGCGAAGCAGATTCCATCGCTTCCTTATCATCGCCGACGTAGAAAAAGCGTTTCATCAGATCCATTTACATCAGGATCAAAGGGATTTCACAAGATTCCTTTGGCTGAAAGATGTCCAACAACCACCATCGACGGACAATCTTCGCATACTACGCTTCACACGCGTGCCCTTTGGTATTAATGCATCACCTTTCCTACTCAGCATGTCCATCAGATACTTTTTGGAACAGGATCCGGCAAATCGTCTCAAGGAAGAGATCCTTGCTAACACTTACGTAGACAATCTTGTCGGAGCGGATTCCAACCACGAATGCTTGGATAAGTGTAAGCAATGCAAGGAAATCTTCACCCGAATGTCCATGAACCTACGCGAGTTCATGTCGAACAGTGAGAGTACGATGCGCTCGATTCCTGAACACGATCGCATGACAATAGACGGACCATTCGCCAAATTCCTAGGGATAAAATGGAATCCTAAGCTCGACGTACTTCACGTGCCTATTAACATCGCGCGTCAACCAGTGACGAGCAAGAGGACTGCATTGAGAGTTTATGCGTCTACGTTTGACCCTTTAGGACTACTAACACCGCTGTTGATAAGACCTAAGATGTTCGTACAAGACTTGTGGGAGTCTGGTTATGACTGGGATGACCCTCTTACCGAGGCAGATTTTGAGAAATGGAATACCATCGTGCAGGAATAAGCGACTTTCACTCGCAAATCCCGCGCTATCTTGGAGTTACTTGTGACAATGCTTACGATTTGGCCCTTTGTTCGGACGCGTCTAAGCGAGTCTATGCTACCGCTGCTTACATCTTGACGCGTCACTCGAACGATAGTTTAAGACCAACACTGCTCTTCGCGAAAGCGAAGTTAGCTCCTCCAGGCGCGATCACCATCCCGCGCATGGAACTTTTAGCTTGTCACATGGCAGCTAAGACCGCGAAGTTCCTTAGAGGCCAGTGTAAAGTCAGCTTTCAGTCAGTCAGATTTCTTACCGACTCCCAGATAGTTTTGTACTGGATTCAGTCGCGCAAGCCGCTCAAGACTTACGTTGCAAACCGCGTTAGATACATCCGTCGCGTGCTCGACGAGTTGAGAGCGGACAACATCGCCACCGGATTTTACTACCTGAACACGGACAACAACCCGGCGGACTGTGCCACCCGTGGGCTAACAGCCACAGAGCTTCAAGACCATCTATGGTGGACATGCCCAAGCTTCTTCACGACCCCCTCTTCGCAGTGACCCTGGAAGAGTCTCGAACCATCAGTCAGTTCGCTACCAGGTGCAGAAGCAGAAGAGCTTAAGGCGGTCACAACTTCGACAAATATCGTCTCCGAACCTTATGTATCCTTCGTGCCTTTTACGCGCACCAACTCGTACACTAAGCTGGTCCGCGTTACAGCATACGTCCTTAAGTTTTTGGCTAGAGTGCGTCGTCGAGTTGAGACGCGCTGTCATCGCAAACTGCAGGACGTGCAATCAATTTTAGGCACGATGGACATAACACCCGTAGTAACACCAGACGACTTTACGACAGCTGAATCGTTGCTCATAAGTGAGCACTACGGAGAAGGCCAGCAACAGTTGGACAGTCCGTATATGAAGAAGTTTCGCACGACGTGCGACAAAGACGGTATCATCAGAGTGGATAGGCGCATGTCTAACGCGCAGACCGACAATTCTACTAACCCCATCCTCATACTGTCGGATCATCCTCTCTGTTATATGTTGATCATGTACCATCATTGTCAGCTATTTCACGCTGGACCGTCCCATTTGATAACCACCTGGCGCCAGAGCTTCTTCACACTTAAACTGAAACGTTTGGTAAGTCCGTTACTTCCAGGTGTGTGATTTGTAGAAGGTATCAAGCCCGTCCATACAAGTATACGTACGCGCCGGACCTTCCATCACAGAGGGTAACTAGGAGTCGCCCATTCCAGCACATTGGCCTTGACTACTTTGGACCCATTCTTGTTCGCTTGCAGTCATCTGAGCGTCAAAAAGTGTGGATTTGTCTTTTTACGTGCATGTCAACGCGCGCAATCCATCTAGAAATGGTAAGAGACAATTCTACATTACAATTCATACTAGCTTTCAGGAGATTTATGGCACGTCGAGGAAAACCGGATACAGTAACGTGCGACAACGCGCCTACCTTCAAGCTAGGACAGGAGATTATCAAGAATGAGTTGCCAACCGTGAAGGACGACAGCCAGATGAGCCAACTTTGTGCCAACCACAACATCAAATGGACATTCATCACTCCGTACTCGCCATGGAAAGGAGGATTTTATGAACGATTAGTCGGATCGGTTAAGAGCGCGCTGAAGAAGACGGTGCGGAATCAAACACTGGACATTTGGCTACTGGAAACCCTCATCATCGAGATCGAGGCAATTCTTAACACCAGACCCCTCTTTCCGGTGAAATCCGATCCGGATACGAATGTGGCCATAAGACCCATTGACTTGATCACTACGGATTTCCAAGTGGCACGGTTGAGCGGCAGTATGCCCCAGAAGATCGCTAACGCGACGAGTGAGAGTTATCGAGCACTTCGTACGCGCTATAAGTCTCTGCAGGAAGATCTAGACCATTTTTGGCAGCTTTGGCAGAGTGACTATCTTGATGCCTAAGCGCAGAGACAGGTCGTACGCTCGAATGGTCAGTCTAGTAGGAAACCACCCCGAGTAGGAGAAGTAGTGCTCGTCAGACAGGACGCGCATCGATCAACTTGGCCACTAGCACTCATCCTGGAACTTCACACATCATCCGATGGCAACGTAAGATCAGCCAAGATCCGGACAGCCAAAAAGAAGATACTAGAACATTCAATCAATCATCTGGTACCTCTGGAGATAGTGACAGATGACGATGCCATTCCTGAGAGAGTTTACGAGCAGCACCTTGCAGTAAAGGATACCCCTTCTGCAACATCTAAGGAGTGAGCACAGCCGTAAAGCAGGTACACATATTAATTTCCTTTAATTTCCTTTCTTTCGACTCTTTTTCCTCTTTCTTTCTTAGTTATTATATACTCTTTTCTCTATACATGAGCGCTACAGGCGCGCATTGATGAGCGATGAGATTATTTTCCTTTGTCTAAGTCTATCTTTAGACTGCGCTGGGTCCCGGCACGAATCGTCGTCAGGCAGCGCGCGATTGTCAACCTAGTCGCAAGATGCAATTCGCTCATTACGAAACCCTTATTGATCGCATAGTGCTCATCATAGGCTCCCTTGTATAAGTTTATAGTTTCTCTTGTATTTTTTTGTAGATTCAGCATTTTGACTTTATATGTGCACACGTTTTACATGCCTTGTATGTACTCCTTTACTGTGAACTTGTTTAGTGTCAGCTCGTGCTCACTTGTCAGTACCACTGTCAATAAAGTTAACCAGCTGTCATCTATCGGACTATCGAGACCCCGAGCAAGGACCTTCTACGAGGGAACAATACAAGTAAGAAGCTTAGTAAAAATCCTTCATTTTTTCAATTCTTTTTTCATCTTGGGGCTTCCACTTGTTGCGCGCACATTTTGCGCCCCTTCAAAATATAACGCGCACAATTTTTTGGTACCAAAACACTCTATCAATTTTTACACCAAAGCTTCTATCAATTTTTTGTTTCTCAAACTCTTCTTTCTTGCATTGAGCCCTCACTTTTCGCTATTGTTACGCATATTTTAAATCATTAGCGCATTTTTTCCAGCTGCGCCGTACGTACTTGTACCGTATCGCCATCATGAAGCATTCGTCATCCTCGTTGCTGTCGCGCACGGCAAGCTCTAGCGCACAACTGCGTAGCCCCTCGCCACTTGCGTCTACCTCTAGCGCAGACACTGCAGCATCCTCTAGCGAATCAGTCGGGCAGTTGGTCATCTTCGAAGCGCGACGTCTACTAGCGCATTGCGAAGACAGTTTGGAGCTGAGAGAAATCCTGGACGACATTTGCAAGAAGCAGCGCGATTTGCAATCCCGCGTATCCAGCGATCCTAACTTAAGACCCTTGCAGCCCAACCCAGCGCCGGCCGCACATGCGCATGTCATCCCTGCCTTGCAAGATGTCGTTGAAGTATTGCCACACACAGTAGAGGAACTTACCGCTGCGCAGCTACGCAGAGTTTTCGCGTTTATCACTACGTCTGGTCGTCAGCCAGAGCCGCAAGCCGCAGATACTACGCTCCTAACACCTGAGCAACAGCGCCACATCGCGCGTATCGTTTTTCATATGCGTAAGCTTGCAGCTGTGTTGGATTGCGCCAATAACATCTTCTTCACCTACCCAGACTTTGCTGCTGCGCACGTACAAAGCTAGCATATCATACGCGAGGTACATGGCGTACATTCACATAATTCAGCACATCATCACAGGCATCACGGTACACCGCGACATCATCAGCGAAGCTTTACTATCGCACTTTTTCACACGCTCGCAATCGTTTCTTAACGCGCTAGTTGGTTGCCAGATTAGCGAGAGCGTAATCATGGAAACGCTTATGGCCGCGTCAGCCGCAGTTGCGCATGCTACCCGTCTTACGCGCACGCTTGAGTACTATCAGATGGAATTCGTCATGACGCATCTACGGCAGAAAGTCACCAAGATCGACAAGCAGTATACGCAGCTCGCAATCCCACCAGTTCAGATCCCCTTCGTACCGACCACCTACATCCAGGTACTTAGATGGTGGCAAGAAAACTACGAGGAACAACGCGCGGGAGGGCGGACTAGAGTCCTCTCAGCAACTCGAGGCGGCCGAACCCAGTTCGGCATCTACTGGACGGCGTAGACTTTTACCGCCATGTGTTTTCTGCGAAGGCTATGGACACTTCAGCGCTGAATGTAGTGTGATAACATCCATGTCTAAGAGGATTGAAGTTGCGCTGGAGAAAGGATTTTGTTCGGTATGTTTCAAGAAGCATCACGGAAGATGCAAGTAGCGATACTATTGTTGGAACTGCGGAGGAGAGCGTCACCATCGCGCCTTTTGTATGAAGAACGCCCAAATTGTGCGTGACACAGATTGGTTCCCAACGCACGAAGAATTTTATGCTTGGCTGGACGCAAATACCCATCCCACAATACCATCTGAGAGTTTTGCTTTGCCGCGCGCTGAAACATCGCAGCCTCCCCGCGCGCGCGAATAGTGTAGAGGGCGAGCCCGTGTGTGACGGTAGTGAGTGGAACGATGGAAAACAGTTAGTGTGTTTCTACCTTTATGACCTCTTTAACCTTATAAACCTTTTCTGCTTTAGTGACATCTGGTAGAATGGTATAATGTGGTCATGGGTAGTCTCGCACATGGTTGATGTTGCTTGTGGTCATGGTTGTTGGATATGGTGTTATGGTTGTATGGTCGCACATGGCTCGTCGTTCACACATGCACATGGTCTTCATAGTTATCCACTTCGCATTTAACCACCTCACATTTAAGCACGTCTAGACACACTTAGCTTCACATAACCATTTCAGTTCATAGTTAGTTTCATTTAATCACTTCAGTTGAGCAGTTATTCTCCCTCGTAGTGTTAGTTTTCACATTTAAGCCACCTCATATTTAGCCACCTCAGTTATCTAGTTACTCTCCTTTATAGAATGTAGTTATCATATTTAATCACGTCATTTAACCGCATTTAGCCGCATTTAATTGCACTTAACCGTATTTAACCAATCAGTTAATCTCAGTTACTCCATGTATTTGTTGTGTGCTTTATTGCGTATGTATGTTACCCTACAGGACGGGTTTTCTCCCAGGTCATCTCCTACGCACTCTACCATGCCGCCGATAGAATTGTTCTTTTACCTGTCTACCTTCTAAAACCTAACGTAAGATGCATTCCCTGTGGTCGTCAGTGCTATCACGTAACCACCATTCGAACGTCCAAGCCACTGTCTCGGGGGGGGGGGGAGTGTCGCGGCTCGCGCGATGCAAGCCTCTCCTCGATTCAGGTGCCGGGAGCACTGCATGCCGCCGAATCGGGCGCGCTTTTCAAACTCGCGCCCGGACCTCTCCTCGCTTGGGCGCGCTGCCAGGTCGAGGGGTATATAAGGCCGCGCAGTTGGCGGCATGTGCCTCTCTGATTTCCGACCTCGTTTTCAAATTATTCTCTGATTTCTCACGTTCACCTTATTGATTGTGTTGGCAGCTAACCCGGCTAGCTCCCGTGGATGAAGTCTTGCGAGCAGTGATTGTTATAGCTTTTGGATTGTACCGCGCTAGCGCGCGAGGAAAGTTTAGAGCTTTTGTGGAAAAGTTAGTACCGGGAGTGGAGAGGGTCGCAACTTTCCTACGCGGAGGCGAGAGTAGGCGGTCGACCCAGGTGATTCCCCTGACATCATGTGTTGGAATTAGGTTGATGTTCATCGGCGGCTTGGGACGAGGCGGACTCGTCCCGTTTGTCATTTTCCTTTAGTTTAGGCGCTTTAGTAGTCTAGTCTATTTCGTAATGTAGTCTGTTGTTATTCAGATAAATGTTAGTAATCTAATCGCGCGTTTCGTGCTACGTATTAATGCCACTAGCGGGTCAGTCGTTGGACGCGCCGGAATGGCCAACCGGCGCTAGGTTTGTAGGCAATGGGTGCAGGGTTGTGCAGGCAGTCGAGCGAGGCAAGGGGGTGCTGAGCCCACCGAGCCGCAACAACATGCGAATAAACACATTTTATCATTCGATTATCTGAATATGCACTTTTTTCTTGCTCGAGTATTTGAAATTCGAACAATGTTTAAACTTTCTCGAATAATCTAATATTCAAACGTTTTCTAAAATCAGTCCCTATATAATATTTGGATAAGCATTTTTTTGATGACCAGCCTGAAATGATACAGAGAAACATGGAATTTGGATGAAACTTTGCATACACAAACTTTAAAGAGCGGGTGTCACTAAGCTTTCACACCGAATTTCGGCTACGCTCTTTTATACAGAGTGTCCCAAAAAGATGTGCACACTGTTTGATCGCTAATAACTCTTTTTCATGTTTTTTGCCAAGCTTGAAGTACCATTCTGTAGAGCGAGGTCCAACTTAGATTTACAGGATGGATCGACTCACTAATCGCTCTTCTTGATGTAGGATTACCGTACAAACTTTCAGCATACGGCGTCATTTGGAATAGGCTTTCGAACATTGTAAAAACAATTGCTACCTTAATTCTGAAATGGCTCATGAAAGAAGCGCAATACTGAAGTGTAAATTTCATATTTAGTGTCGACGCCTTCGACTAGTCCAGTACACGAGTTTTTGGCTTGTTTGGTTCCCTTTCTGAGGCACCGGCAAAAACTCACTTTCAACGGCTTAAAATCCTCCTCGAAGTTTCTACCGTAATCTCACAGTCATGAAAAGCAATCGATCATTCGCTCCAGCACTGCAAATCTAAGTCGAACCTCGTTCTACAGAAAGGCGCTTCAAGCTCGGCAGAAGACTTGAAAGCAGGAGAGTTATTAACGATCAAACAGTGTGCACATCTTTTTGGGACACCCTGTATATGCAAACGGTTTGCATTTCCATCAAAAAGTCCGGGAAACGGCAAATTCTGGGGTGTGTTCATATAACTATGCCAATCTTTATATAGCTGGGGCCGGAAGTTTTGTTGCACCGTCTCTAGAAACCATATTCGTTGTTTTCGGATGTTTTTGCAAGTAACTAATTCTGTTGGAAAATGTGAATTACGTACTTTGTAATGACCTTCCACAATTTTTTCAGCAACTCTTTGATTTGCAGTCATATAGGAGATTATTTGACTTCAATTAATTCAAGCAGATTATTCTAGAGTCTTTTTGATAAGGAGCCTATATATTGATTAAGTCACTTTTTAGTGTTTTAGGTGGTTTCTAGCTTTGGCTTTATGTTGCAGCTCATTTCTCACTGTTTTTGAGTGCCGTGGCTCCGTTATTATTTGCAGTTTATACTGCTTCCATCATCACTTTTGCTAATACTTTTCCTTAAGCAC